TGGGTCTCACGGTGCGTCCCCTTTCAGATGGTTTGGGTCTCACGGTGCGTCCCCTTTCAGATGGTTTGGGTCTCACGGTGCGTCCCCTTTCAGATGGTTTGGGTCTCACGGTGCGTCCCCTTTCAGATGGTTTGGGTCTCACGGTGCGTCCCCTTTCAGATGGTTTGGGTCTCACGGTGCGTCCCCTTTCAGATGGTTTGGGTCTCACGGTGCGTCCCTTTCAGATGGTTTGGGTCTCACGGTGCGTCCCCTTTCAGATGGTTTGGGTCTCACGGTGCGTCCCCTTTCAGATGGTTTGGGTCTCACGGTGCGTCCCCTTTCAGATGGTTTGGGTCTCACGGTGCGTCCCCTTTCAGATGGTTTGGGTCTCACGGTGCGTCCCCTTTCAGATGGTTTGGGTCTCACGGTGCGTCCCCTTTCAGATGGTTTGGGTCTCACGGTGCGTCCCCTTTCAAATGGTGAAGCATTGCACCTGTACTACCACTACTGTACCTCAATTCCACCTCACAAAGTTAACATTTCCTTCTCATTTAAACTTCTCAAAGTATCGCCATACAGGACTTTGCTGCTGTTGCTTGCCTTTGCCGTTTTTCCAACTGTTAACTACGGTGATGTAGTGGTGGAGAGTCGACTCCAAAATAATTGATTCCTCGACTCCTTGACTTCCAATAGGCTATGATGTTCTGCATGCAACAGAGCAAAGAATGAACAGGCATCGTTAGTGAAGAGAGAGCAGGTGAGCCAGCGCGAGGGAGATAGAGGGGAAGGGCCGGACAGGAAGAACCAGACGTAATCTGTATCTCGCAATGTCTTGATTGTACCTTGCAAATTCACCAAAGTAGCCTGAAGTTCACCTCTTCCTCTCTGGTTTTATTACACATCTTTCCCCAGGCCTTTATAACCTATCATATAGTTAGGCCCAGGCCTTTATAGCCTATCATATAGTTAGGCCCAGGCCTTTATAACCTATCATATAGTTAGGCCCAGGCCTTTATAGCCTATCATATAGTTAGGCCCAGGCCTTTATAGCATATCATATAGTTAGGCCCAGGCCTTTATAGCCTATCATATAGTTAGGCCCAGGCCTTTATAGCCTATCATATAGTTAGGCCCAGGCCTTTATAGCCTATCATATAGTTAGGCCCAGGCCTTTATAGCCTATCATATAGTTAGGCCCAGGCCTTTATAGCCTATCATATAGTTAGGCCCAGGCCTTTATAGCCTATCATATAGTTAGGCCCAGGCCTTTATAGCCTATCAAATAGTTAGGCTATTACACGGGGGGGAAAAATATGTTTTGTGATAACTGCACTGTGATGAAAATTTGGTGGGGGGGGTCAGTTAGGGATTTTTCTTAACTTTAAGGATCCCAATTTCGTTTGAAAAACGTTTTAACGTTTAAATGTTCACACCCCTAATGGAGACCAGCGGTGTAGGGTGAAGTTGCCCTAGACACTGATCCTGGGTCAGTTTAGCATTTTCCCCACTACTGGTTAAGGTCAGGATTGGGGGAGGGGAAGCTGGTCCCAGACCTGTTTAGCATTTCCCCCCACTACTGGTTAAGGCTAGGATTGGGGGAGGGGAAGCTGGTCCTAGACCTGTTTAGCATTTTCCCCACTACTGGTTAAGGCTAGGATTGGGGGAGGGGAAGCTGGTCCTAGACCTGTTTAGCATTTTCCCCACTACTGGTTAAGGCTAGGATTGGGGGAGGGGAAGCTGGTCCTAGACCTGTACCCTGGGGAAACTTCCTCCCGGAGCAAAGTGACAACACACTCTTTGTTGCAAGTTTCTCTCTTTTTGAAGAAGGTCTCATTGTTTGTTGAAGATAAGGGTCATATTATTTCAGTCTGTGTGTGGTAACAGTACAGCGTACATCATTTAAAAAGAAGTGAAAGACAATTAGTTGTTGTTTTTGTAACATTTTTATACATTAAGGCATAATAAAATAAAGATCAAGTCAACAACACCAACATTTGGGGATTGGCAAATCCAGAGGTTATAACATTGAACTGACATAGCTTAGCTATCATTAAAACATGGAACTATTAACATAATTTAGCTAGCTTAGATATCATTAAAACATGGAACTATTAACATCATTTAGCTAGCTTAGATATCATTAAAACATGGAACTATTAACATCATTTAGCTAGCTTAGATATCATTAAAACATGGAACTATTAACATCATTTAGCTAGCTTAGATATCATTAAAACATGGAACTATTAACATCATTTAGCTAGCTTAGATATCATTAAAACATGGAACTATTAACATCATTTAGCTAGCTTAGATATCATTAAAACATGGAACTATTAACATCATTTAGCTAGCTTAGATATCATTAAAACATGGAACTATTAACATCATTTAGCTAGCTTAGATATCATTAAAACATGGAACTATTAACATCATTTAGCTAGCTTAGATATCATTAAAACATGGAACTATGAACACAGTTTAGCTAGCTTAGCTATCACTATAATATTAACAGATGCCTGGTCTTCACATGAATGGCTTTTTCTTTGCAATGTTTTTATTGAATACATGAACAATCAGAATACGGACTATAGACTGGGAACTCCAGTAACATTAAGAATAGTAGGTGAGTTTATATTCAGAATAGTGGGAGTATATACAGTGCATTCAGAAAGTATTCAGACCCCTTCCCTTTTACACTTTGTTACGTTACAGCCTTATTCTAAAATGAATTAAATTAGGTTTTTTCCTCATCAATCTACACACAATACCCCATAATGACAAAGCAAAAAACAGGTTTTTAGAAATGTTTGCAAATGTATAAAATAAATAAAATCTGTCATTTTGGTCTGGAGTCCAAATGTGAGATTTGTGGTTCCAACCGCCGTGTCTTTGTGAGACGCAGAGTAGGTGAACAGATGATCTCTGCATGTGTGGTTCCCACCGTGAAGTATGGTGGAGGAGGTGTGATGGTGCTTTGCTGGTGACACTGTCAGTGATTTATTTAGAATTCAAGGCACACTTAACCAGCATGGCTACCACAGCATTCTGCAGCGATATGGCATCCCATCTCGTTCGGGCTTAGTGGGACTATCATTTGTTTTTCAACAGGACAATGACCCAACACACCTTCAGGCTGTGTAAAGGCTATTTGTCCAAGAAGGAGAGGGATGGAGTGCTGCATCAGATGACCTTGGCCTCCACAATCACCTGACCTCAAACCAATTGAGATGGTTTGGGATGAGTCGGACCGCAGAGTGAAGGAAAAGCAGCCAACAAGTGCTCAGCATATGTGGGAACTCCTTCAAGACTGTTGGAAAAACATTCCTCATGAAGCTGGTTGAGAGAATGCCAAGACTGTGCAAAGCTGTCATCAAGGCAAAGGGTGGCTACTTTGAAGAATCTAAAATCTATTTTGATTTGTTTAACACTTTTTTTGGTTACTACATGATTCCATATGTGTTATTTCATAGTTTTGATGTCTTCACTGTTATTCTACAATGTAGAAAATAGTAAAAAAATAAAGAAAAACCCTTGAATGAGTAAGTGTCTCAACTTTTGACTGGTACTGTATATTCAGAATAGTAGGTGAGTGAACATTAAACCTGACTGATTAATAAGAAATTACATTCACAGATTTACAGGCTATAATATGTGTAGGATCTTAAGTCAAGTCAAGACTACATATAGCACTGATGATATTGATTATATAATAGCATGACTGAATATTACCTCATTATTACATTAATAAAACAGTATTGTCAGACACATAGCATATCTCGAGAAACATGCGTCCTAAATTGGGAATAGGGTGTCATTTGGCATACCATGGCTCTGGGGCTCACATGTTGTCTGAGGAGTCGAACGATCCAGTGATAACAAATTTAGTAGCAGAGTGGGATCCTCCGGTAGACTGACTGGCCTGACCAAGGTTGTTGCGTTCATCCACCTCTGGCCTGCTGGCCCCCCTACCTCTGCGGAAGCACAGTTCCCGCTCAGCCCAGTCAAAACTGTTCGCTGCTCTGGCACCCCAATGGTGGAACAAGCTCCCTCACGACGCCAGGACAGCGGAGTCACTCACCACCTTCTGGAAACACTTGAAACCCCACCTCTTTAAGGAACACCTGGGATAGGATAAAGTAATCCTTCTACCCCCCCTTACCCCACCCCCCCAAAAATGAAATAAAATATATAAAAAAATGAAATAAAAATTGATACATATTGTAAAGTGGTTATCCCACTGGCTATAAGGTGAATGCACCAATTTGTAAGTCGCTCTGGATAAGAGCGTCTGCTAAATGACGTAAATGTAAATGTAGTTACAGATCAGCTGGTTGTTCTGAGCTTCTGACAGGGTACTGCAGCTCTGGTATACACTGGAGTGAGTCTTCCTCCCAGGGATGTTGCCCTCCTCACCATCATAGCCTGTTTGTTCTGGAGTGAGTCTTCCTCCCAGGTATGTTGCCCTCCTCACCATCATAGCCTGTTTGTTCTTACCCAGGGCCTGGCGGTTGTACCAGTGGAGGGCGGCCAGGTTGACCACAAGTCTGATGGACAGGTAGAAGGGAGCGTCCCCGTACAGCATGGGTCTCCTCTGGGCATGCTCCTTAGAAGAAGAAGCAGCAGCTTGTCTTCTCCGATAAACACATTAGATTACCTTGAAGTCCTGTACAGGGTCAGGGGGGGGGGGGGGGCGTGAGGCGTGGCGTAGATCCGACAATCTGTCCCCGCCGGGCGGGTCTCAGCAGAGACGTCTGAGAAGTCCTGGCAGGTCCACTCCAGGCCGGTGGGCGTGGTCAGCGAGGAGCCATGGAAGCCGGTGCAGTGGACAAACGTCTTGATGGGGGTATACATCACACATTAGTATTAAAACCATACCATGTTTGCCTGCATACGCACACAAACACGCCATTTCAGATGTAACCTCACCTCTGTGTTGTTGAGCCACACTAAGTTGAGCCAGTCCTATCATGGTTGAAGCGGCTCAGCAGGTCCCTCTTTCTCAGCTCGTCAGAGAAGCTTCATGGCTTCTGTTTCAGGGCCTCCTTGTCTCTGGTGATGCTGTAGCTGTAGAAGAAGAAGATGTCTTCTTCTTGTCTTCTGCTTTATTTCACCCATACGACAGAGAGGTTGGAGCAGAGGGTAGCCATACTAAGGCACCCATACTAAGGCACCCATTGATCAGTTTGGAGGTTAAGTGTCTATCTCAAGGACACAACAGCACAAGACAACGGCAGGACAATCCTGACCAGATTTTTTTCCCTGTCGGACATGAGCCGGCAACCTTTAGGTTTCTGTCCCAGTTCTCTAACCTGCCATTAACACCGGCTTCGACTTTGTAGTCCCCACAGTGACAGTACGTACATACCCCAACCAGAAGCCATGGATTACAGGCAACATCCGCACCGAGCTAAAGGCTAGAGCTGCCGCTTTCAAGGAGCGGGACACTAATCCGGACGTTATAAGAAATCCCGCTACGCCCTGATGCTTTCTGGTCAAAAAGAGTATGACATTGTTGCCGCCCCTAGCATTGAATGCAAGGAAAGCCTGCGAGCATTTGGCCTCCATTGATAATAAAAAAGAAAAAAGAAAAAATAGCCAATCAGCGTTGAGCTAAACTGATTGAGCTCAACTGTAGGAGGAAAAAGTGTCAAGAGAAGCCAGTTTGGATTTGGCTTCACTCCAATCACATCAATACGTAATTAAACGGCTACCCGGGCTTTCTGCTTTTCACCCCCTACCTACATGTCCATAGTACCTCAATCACCCCAACTACCCTGTACGCCTGTATATAGCCTAGTTGGTGTTATTATAATGTTCCTATTTTCTTTTGATCTATTTGTTAATTTTCTTACTTTATAACTGCATTGTTTGGGAAAGGTATCATAAATAATTATTTCATGGTAAAGTCACTTGTTGTATTTGGTGACAAATAACTTTGGATTTTTATTCGATTCTGATGACCTGTATCGCTGCTCCTTCAGGTGACACTCCAGACCACACTGGTAGTTGGCTGTTGGGTTCATACTCCCAGCCGTCCTTCTGCCTCGCCGCCCTGAAGGAGGCCAGGTAGGAGTCCAGCTGGCTGGGCAGAATAAAATAAAATAAGTTTATTTTCTCCCCAGAGGGAACTTCAGTCGTGGCAAGTCAGATAAGGTGTAGAGGCACTGTATATTAAACAACGTATTACAGTAACATTCACACATAACATGGAAATGCTATACTAGATACGGTAGATACAAGAGAACATAAGTCTACAAAAAAATAATACATTTTCATTTAAAATACTGACGCCAGTACAAAACTGTAAGTTTCTCTCTTGGTTTTGGAAATAACCTGCAGAGGAGGCAGTAGATCTCCTGGCTCTCAGATGGATACTTGGACACCAGGAAGTCTCTGAAGTTTCCGAAGAGCTGGTCTCATTCTGCTCCTGTCTCTCGCTCTCCTCCATCTCTGTCAAAACAACTGGAGTCACACAGAGCTTCTGGTGATTAATGGCACCCTGTTCCCTATATAGACTCCCGAGTGGCGCAGTGGTCTAAGGCGCTGCATCGCAGTGCTAGCTGTGCCACTAGAGATCCTGGTTCGAATCCAGGCTCTGTCGTAGCCGGCCGCGAACGGGAGACCCATGGGGCGGCGCACAATTGGTCCAGGGTAGGGGAGGGAATGGCCGGCAGGGTTGTGGGTTCGTTTGCAACGCCAGGGTTGTGGGTTCGATTCCCACGGGGGGCCAGTATGAAAAAATAATCATGTATGCACTCACTAACTGTAAGTCGCTCTGGATAAGAGCGTCTGCTAAATGACTAAAAATGTAAAAAAATAATAGTGCACTACTTTTGAACAGAGCCCTATGCGCCCTGGTCAAAAGTAGTGCACTGTATAGGGAATAGGGTGCCATTTGGCACACTGTCAAACTCTGAGGGAAGAGGTTCATCAGAATGTTTATTAAATCTTGTGGATGAATGCATTTTATACTGCAGTGTTGAAGTTAGTATTGAGGCCTTGCAGTAATCATACCTTACACAGAAGGGATATGACTTTAGTCATGAGGAAGGAGAATTGAGAACTGTTATGTGCAGTGCATTTGACATCTGCAACAATGAATGTTTCTTCTTGTTGAAGTCTCCGTTTTTAATAATGATGATGATGATGATTCACTGATAATGTGCGTACCAAATTGCATTCTATTCCCTATATAGTGCACTACTTTTGACCATTGCACTGTGTAGGGAATAGGGTGCCATTTGGAACAACCCAGGTTATGTTGCCAAAGTGCAGCAGACATCGACATGCTTCAGAATCTATTCTAGAACTCTACTGTTCCATTGTTTTCAATGTGGAGTCTTGTATAATTATATATATATATTTTGTAATACTTTGACATTTTCTTTCTTTCTTTTTACATAAACAGATGTTTCAGACTACCGAGGTGTTGTCATAACAGGCTATAACCAGGTTATAGCCATTCGTAGGTCCTGGAGTTGTGCAGGGACAGGAGTCAAGAGATACAGTTCAGAATACAATGTGTAATGTCACTATAGTGAAAAGATCAACATGCATTAACAAAAATAAGATTTAACAAAAATAAGATTTAAAAAAATAATAAGATTAAACAAAAATAAGAGGTTTCTCTACTAAAATAAGATTCTTATTTGAATAGTATTTTCCTGAGGTTTCTCCTCTTCTAAAAAAAAACGTCTAAGCATAAATACATCATCCAAGAAACAGAATTCATTTTTCACATAGTAGTAGACCATTACAGTAATGATGAACAGCAAATCAACCATTTATGTACACAGCAAGGTGTTTTAATGATAGTCAAGTGTGCAGCCTACATAGTTTCTGTGTTTTATCATTGCAATGGTGGTGGGTTGGACAGACAGATGTGGAATGGAGGAATAAGGACAGACCGCTTGTTTTCAAAAGGAATTGGAGCACAATCCCCATGACAACCACAGGGGATCACAGGACTAGCCTGGTCCCAGAGTGGTTTGTGCCAACTTGGCAAGACATCACAAACTGACAGATCTGGGGCCAGACTATCATAAGGACAAGACGCAGCAACACGAACGTCCGTCGGTCGCACGGAGCAGGTGGCAGTCCCATCTCCTCTGACTACAGGACATCGGCTGACGTTTTCTGTTCGTTTCCAGACCATTCTGGTAGCTTAGTGGTTAAGAGCGTTAATGACTAAAATGTAATGTTGAATTGCCGCCGTTCATTGAAACTGATCTACTGCGCACGGCCAATGTTCGTGTTGGTCAGTCTGGTCCTATAGGACATCATAGGACACACCCCCTCAGTCTGGTCCTATAGGACACACCCCTCAGTCTGGTCCTATAGGACACACCCCTCAGTCTGGTCCTATAGAACACACCCCTCAGTCTGGTCCTATAGGACATCATAGGACACACCCCTCAGTCTGGTCCTATAGGACACACCCCTCAGTCTGGTCCTATAGGACACACCCCTCAGTCTGGTCCTATAGGACACACCCCTCAGTCTGGTCCTATAGGACACACCCCTCAGTCTGGTCCTATAGGACACACCCCTCAGTCTGGTCCTATAGGACACACCCCTCAGTCTGGTCCTATAGAACATCATAGGACACACCCCTCAGTCTGGTCCTATAGGACACACCCCTCAGTCTGGTCCTATAGGACACACCCCTCAGTCTGGTCCTATAGGACACACCCCTCAGTCTGGTCCTATAGGACATCATAGGACACACCCCTCAGTCTGGTCCTATAGGACATCATAGGACACACCCCTCAGTCTGGTCCTATAGGACACACCCCTCAGTCTGGTCCTATAGGACATCATAGGACACACCCCTCAGTCTGGTCCTATAGGACATCATAGGACACACCCCTCAGTCTGGTCCTATAGGACACACCCCTCAGTCTGGTCCTATAGAACACACCCCTCAGTCTGGTCCTATAGGACACACCCCTCAGTCTGGTCCTATAGGACACACCCCTCAGTCTGGTCCTATAGGACATCATAGGACACACCCCTCAGTCTGGTCCTATAGAACATCATAGGACACACCCCTCAGTCTGGTCCTATAGGACACACCCCTCAGTCTGGTCCTATAGGACACACCCCTCAGTCTGGTCCTATAGGACATCATAGGACACACCCCTCAGTCTGGTCCTATAGAACATCATAGGACACACCCCTCAGTCTGGTCCTATAGGACACACCCCTCAGTCTGGTCCTATAGGACACACCCCTCAGTCTCAGTTTGGTGTTGCTTGCTGACTATAGGCAGCAGGTCTCCCTTGGTTTTCATGGTTTTGATCTTGGCGTGGATGGTGTCGTCCATGGCCTGCCGGCAGCGGTGGGCGTAGTGAGCCAGCGTCTCTTCCTTCTCGTCCCACGGCGGCAGGGCGTGGAACACCTAGGATAAGATTAGATACATATAATACTATAAATACACAACAACAAAAAACAGAAACTACATTTCCCGTTGATAGATTAAGCCTAGCCTGGGACTCAAATCCAATGGAGATTCTCTAGAACTAGGCTTAATAAGACAGCGCATCATCAAAGCATGTTCATATAGCTCAGATAGAAACATTAAAAAGTCTCATAGCGGACAGTCAACAGGAATTACAAACCTCTGGAGCTGCCAGGCTCAGCTCGGCGATGGCCGCCGTCCTTGAGATGGTGTTCCGGTCGACGCCCACGCGGTCGAACGCCACCTTCATGGAGACGCTGCGTCTGAACTCCTGCAGGGCCGCCATGTACCTGGCGATCACGCCCACCACGTTCTTCACTGGGGAGAGAGATAAGAGGAGGAGTTTGTTAAACTACCAAGACTAATTCATTTATGTTTCAAAAGCTGTCTGCCCAACTCTTTCTTTTCCTGGTGAGGGATAATGGGGATGTTGACCGCCTGACAGAGGACGATGCTGTTGACCGCCTGACAGAGGACGATGCTGTTGACCGCCTGACCGAGGACGATGCTGTTGACCGCCTGACAGAGGACGATGCTGTTGACCGCCTGACCGAGGACGATGCTGTTGACCGCCTGACCGAGGACGATGCTGTTGACCGCCTGACAGAGGACGATGCTGTTGACCGCCTGACCGAGGATGATGCTGTTGACCGCCTGACCGAGGACGATGCTGTTGACCGCCTGACAGAGGACGATGCTGTTGACCGCCTGACAGAGGACTGAACTCCTGACTCTGTTTAAGGACCATCTACAGTACTGTACTCCTGACTCTGTTTAAGGGGTATCTACAGTACTGAACTCCTGACTCTGTTTAAGGGGTATCTACAGTACTGAACTCCTGACTCTGTTTAAGGGGTATCTACAGTACTGAACTCCTGACTCTGTTTAAGGGGTATCTACAGTACTGAACTCCTGACTCTGTTTAAGGGGTATCTACAGTACTGAACTCCTGACTCTGTTTAAGGACCATCTACAGTACTGAACTCCTGACTCTGTTTAAGGACCATCTACAGTCCTGTACTCCTGACTCTGTTTAAGGACCATCTACAGTCCTGTACTCCTGACTCTGTTTAAGGGGTATCTACAGTACTGAACTCCTGACTCTGTTTAAGGACCATCTACAGTACTGAACTCCTGACTCTGTTTAAGGACCATCTACAGTACTGTACTCCTGACTCTGTTTAAGGACCATCTACAGTACTGTACTCCTGACTCTGTTTAAGGACCGTCTACAGTACTGAACTCCTGACTCTGTTTAAGGGGTATCTACAGTACTGTACTCCTGACTCTGTTTAAGGACCATCTACAGTACTGAACTCCTGACTCTGTTTAAGGACCATCTACAGTACTGAACTCCTGACTCTGTTTAAGGGGTATCTACAGTACTGAACTCCTGACTCTGTTTAAGGGGTATCTACAGTACTGTACTCCTGACTCTGTTTAAGGACCATCTACAGTACTGTACTCCTGACTCTGTTTAAGGGGTATCTACAGTACTGAACTCCTGACTCTGTTTAAGGACCATCTACAGTACTGTACTCCTGACTCTGTTTAAGGGGTATCTACAGTACTGAACTCCTGACTCTGTTTAAGGGGTATCTACAGTACTGTACTCCTGACTCTGTTTAAGGGGTATCTACAGTACTGTACTCCTGACTCTGTTTAAGGACCATCTACAGTACTGTACTCCTGACTCTGTTTAATGGGTATCTACAGTACTGTACTCCTGACTCTGTTTAAGGGGTATCTACAGTACTGTACTCCTGACTCTGTTTAAGGGGTATCTACAGTACTGTACTCCTGACTCTGTTTAAGGGGTATCTACAGTACTGTACTCCTGACTCTGTTTAAGGGGTATCTACAGTACTGTACTCCTGACTCTGTTTAAGGACCATCTACAGTACTGAACTCCTGACTCTGTTTAAGGACCATATACAGTACTGTACTCCTGACTCTGTTTAAGGGGTATCTACAGTACTGTACTCCTGACTCTGTTTAAGGACCATCTACAGTACTGTACTCCTGACTCTGTTTAAGGACCATCTACAGTACTGAACTCCTGACTCTGTTTAAGGACCATCTACAGTACTGAACTCCTGACTCTGTTTAAGGACCATCTACAGTACTGAACTCCTGACTCTGTTTAAGGACCATCTACAGTACTGAACTCCTGACTCTGTTTAAGGACCATCTACAGTACTGAACTCCTGACTCTGTTTAAGGGGTATCTACAGTACTGAACTCCTGACTCTGTTTAAGGGGTATCTACAGTACTGAACTCCTGACTCTGTTTAAGGACCATCTACAGTACTGTACTCCTGACTCTGTTTAAGGGGTATCTACAGTACTGTACTCCTGACTCTGTTTAAGGACCATCTACAGTACTGAACTCCTGACTCTGTTTAAGGGGTATCTACAGTACTGTACTCCTGACTCTGTTTAAGGGGTATCTACAGTACTGTACTCCTGACTCTGTTTAAGGACCATCTACAGTACTGTACTCCTGACTCTATTTAAGGACCATCTACAGTACTGAACTCCTACTCTGTTTAAGGACCATCTACAGTACTGTACTCCTGACTCTGTTTAAGGGGTATCTACAGTACTGAACTCCTGACTCTGTTTAAGGACCATCTACAGTACTGTACTCCTGACTCTGTTTAAGGGGTATCTACAGTACTGAACTCCTGACTCTGTTTAAGGACCATCTACAGTACTGTACTCCTGACTCTGTTTAAGGACCATCTACAGTACTGAACTCCTGACTCTGTTTAAGGGGTATCTACAGTACTGTACTCCTGACTCTGTTTAGGGGGTATCTACAGTACTGTACTTCTGACTCTGTTTAAGGACCATCTACAGTACTGAACTCCTGACTCTGTTTAAGGACCATCTACAGTACTGTACTGCTGACTCTGTTTAAGGACCATCTACAGTACTGAACTCCTGACTCTGTTTAAGGGGTATCTACAGTACTGAACTCCTGACTCTGTTTAAGGGGTATCTACAGTACTGTACTCCTGACTCTGTTTAAGGGGTATCTACAGTACTGTACTCCTGACTCTGTTTAAGGACCATCTACAGTACTGAACTCCTGACTCTGTTTAAGGGGTATCTACAGTACTGTACTTCTGACTCTGTTTAAGGACCATCTACAGTACTGAACTCCTGACTCTGTTTAAGGACCATCTACAGTACTGTACTGCTGACTCTGTTTAAGGACCATCTACAGTACTGAACTCCTGACTCTGTTTAAGGGGTATCTACAGTACTGAACTCCTGACTCTGTTTAAGGGGTATCTACAGTACTGTACTCCTGACTCTATTTAAGGACCATCTACAGTACTGAACTCCTGACTCTGTTTAAGGACCATCTACAGTACTGAACTCCTGACTCTGTTTAAGGGGTATCTACAGTACTGTACTCCTGACTCTGTTTAAGGGGTATCTACAGTACTGTACTCCTGACTCTGTTTAAGGGGTATCTACAGTACTGTACTCCTGACTCTGTTTAAGGGGTATCTACAGTACTGAACTCCTGACTCTGTTTAAGGGGTATCTACAGTACTGTACTCCTGACTCTGTTTAAGGGGTATCTACAGTACTGAACTCCTGACTCTGTTTAAGGGGTATCTACAGTACTGTACTCCTGACTCTGTTTAAGGGGTATCTACAGTACTGTACTCCTGACTCTGTTTAAGGGGTATCTACAGTACTGAACTCCTGACTCTGTTTAAGGACCATCTACAGTACTGTACTCCTGACTCTGTTTAAGGACCATCTACAGTACTGTACTCCTGACTCTGTTTAAGGGGTATCTACAGTACTGTACTCCTGACTCTGTTTAAGGACCATCTACAGTACTGTACTCCTGACTCTGTTTAAGGACCATCTACAGTACTGTACTCCTGACTCTGTTTAAGGACCATCTACAGTACTGTACTCCTGACTCTGTTTAAGGGGTATCTACAGTACTGTACTCCTGACTCTGTTTAAGGACCATCTACAGTACTGAACTCCTGACTCTGTTTAAGGGGTATCTACAGTACTGTACTCCTGACTCTGTTTAAGGACCATCTACAGTACTGTACTCCTGACTCTGTTTAAGGGGTATCTACAGTACTGTACTCCTGACTCTGTTTAAGGGGTATCTACAGTACTGTACTCCTGACTCTGTTTAAGGACCATCTACAGTCCTGTACTCCTGACTCTGTTTAAGGGGTATCTACAGTACTGAACTCCTGACTCTGTTTAAGGGGTATCTACAGTACTGTACTCCTGACTCTGTTTAAGGGGTATCTACAGTACTGAACTCCTGACTCTGTTTAAGGACCATCTACAGTACTGTACTCCTGACTCTGTTTAAGGACCATCTACAGTACTGTACTCCTGACTCTGTTTAAGGGGTATCTACAGTACTGTACTCCTGACTCTGTTTAGGGGGTATCTACAGTACTGTACTTCTGACTCTGTTTAAGGACCATCTACAGTACTGAACTCCTGACTCTGTTTAAGGACCATCTACAGTACTGTACTGCTGACTCTGTTTAAGGACCATCTACAGTACTGAACTCCTGACTCTGTTTAAGGGGTATCTACAGTACTGAACTCCTGACTCTGTTTAAGGGGTATCTACAGTACTGTACTCCTGACTCTGTTTAAGGGGTATCTACAGTACTGTACTTCTGACTCTGTTTAAGGACCATCTACAGTACTGAACTCCTGACTCTGTTTAAGGACCATCTACAGTACTGTACTGCTGACTCTGTTTAAGGACCATCTACAGTACTGAACTCCTGACTCTGTTTAAGGGGTATCTACAGTACTGAACTCCTGACTCTGTTTAAGGGGTATCTACAGTACTGTACTCCTGACTCTGTTTAAGGACCATCTACAGTACTGAACTCCTGACTCTGTTTAAGGACCATCTACAGTACTGAACTCCTGACTCTGTTTAAGGGGTATCTACAGTACTGTACTCCTGACTCTGTTTAAGGGGTATCTACAGTACTGTACTCCTGACTCTGTTTAAGGGGTATCTACAGTACTGTACTCCTGACTCTGTTTAAGGGGTATCTACAGTACTGAACTCCTGACTCTGTTTAAGGGGTATCTACAGTACTGTACTCCTGACTCTGTTTAAGGGGTATCTACAGTACTGTACTCCTGACTCTGTTTAAGGGGTATCTACAGTACTGTACTCCTGACTCTGTTTAAGGGGTATCTACAGTACTGTACTCCTGACTCTGTTTAAGGGGTATCTACAGTACTGAACTCCTGACTCTGTTTAAGGACCATCTACAGTACTGTACTCCTGACTCTGTTTAAGGACCATCTACAGTACTGTACTCCTGACTCTGTTTAAGGACCATCTACAGTACTGTACTCCTGACTCTGTTTAAGGACCATCTACAGTACTGTACTCCTGACTCTGTTTAAGGGGTATCTACAGTACTGTACTCCTGACTCTGTTTAAGGACCATCTACAGTACTGAACTCCTGACTCTGTTTAAGGGGTATCTACAGTACTGTACTCCTGACTCTGTTTAAGGACCATCTACAGTTCTGAACTCCTGACTCTGTTTAAGGACCATCTACAGTACTGAACTCCTGACTCTGTTTAAGGGGTCTCTACAGTCCTGTACTCCTGACTCTGTTTAAGGACCATCTACAGTACTGTACTCCTGACTCTGTTTAAGGGGTATCTACAGTACTGTACTCCTGACTCTGTTTAAGGACCATCTACAGTACTGTACTCCTGACTCTGTTTAAGGACCATCTACAGTACTGTACTCCTGACTCTGTTTAAGGGGTATCTACAGTACTGTACTCCTGACTCTGTTTAAGGGGTATCTACAGTACTTACTCCTGACTCGTGTGTTCTCTCCATCTCTGCTCCTCTTCATCTCCCTGCGTCGGTCCAGGGGGTGGGTCTCCACCTCTTCGAAGCTTTCGAACAGGGCAGAGTTCTCCAACGCCATGCCCTCGTCAGGGAACCCCACCCCCATGTGGGTGGAGCTGCCCAGCCCCACCTCCATCTGGATGGAAGAATGACCACGCCTCTTCTCTAAGGGGAAAATAAGAAATGAAAACCCAAAATATATTGTTTTCTAAATCCTATAAAAAAAGTCTACAGTGTGCAAAAGAATTCACCAGTAAGATCGTAGCATACCTGGGCGGGAATGGGAGGAGCGTACCTGGTCGCAGCTGGTCTTGCAGGAAGTCACAGATGAGTTCAGCCTTCTTGGTGAGTTCCTGCTGCAGCAGCTGCTTGTCCTGTTTCAGGCTACTGATGGTGTCTCCCATCTGATGACTGAGGCTCCGCTCCACACTCAGCAGCGCCCGCAGACGCTCCATCTCACAGAGAGCCCATCCCACTGATAGAACAACGAGACAAAGACTGTACCGTTTTCAATATGTACATAATAATAATAATAATAATAATAATAATCGTCATCACTTATTCAACTTGTATAGCATTTTCAGATTCAGATTGAATAGTGTCTCTAGTCAGATTGAACAGTGAACCCATTGTGTAACATTAGGCCTACATCCTCTGTTCCGAGAACATACAGGGTAGGCAGAGAGAAACCCACCCTTGTTCCAACATAAGATAGCAGAAAACATGCTACAGTGCATAAATGGACAAATATATTTTTTTAAATGAAAAACATCCAAGAGAAACTGGAGCCTACCTGCCTGCTACTCAAAACAGGTGCAGTTAAAATACTGGTGCAGTTAAAATACTGGTGCAGTTAACTTGGCCATGAAGTGCATTTTTCCATTAACAAGGTGAGGTGCTTTTTTTCCCACTAGCTTTAAAAATGTCATACAGTTAGCATGTTTATATGTTTTAATAAGGAAAGGGAGTTGGGGAAAAATTCAAATAATAATATGCAGCTATTCATCACCACTAATATGACACCTTAACATACAGAAATAAGAATTGACCTAAAGCTCAACAGAAACATGTTAAGTTAGAAGGGTTTATGGCTTTAGTTGTTATATACAGTTGAAGTCGGAAGTTTACATACACTTAGGTTGGAGTCATTAAAACTCGTTTTTCAACCACTCCACAAATTTCTTGTTAACAAACTATAGTTTTGGCAAGTCGGTTAGGACATCTACTTTGTGCATGACACAAGTAATTTTTCCAACAATTGTTTACAGACAGATTATTTCACTTATAATTCACTGTATCACAATTCCAGTGGGTCAGAAGTTTACATACACTAAGTTGACTGTGCCTTTAAACAGCTTGGAAAATTCCAGAAAATGATGTCATGGCTTTAGAAGCTTCTGATAGGCTAATTGACATCATTTGAGTTAATTGGAGGTGTGCCTGTGGATGTATTTCAAGGCCTACCTTCAAACTCAGTGCCTCTTTGCTTGACATCATGGGAAAATCAAAAGAAATCAGCCAAGACCTCAGAAAAAAAAAAATTGTAGACCTCCACAAGTCTGGTTCATCCTTGGGAGCAATTTCCAAATGCCTGAAGGTACCACGTTCATCTGTACAAACAATAGTATGCAAGTATAAACACCATGGGACCACGCAGCCGTCATACCGCTCAGGAAGGAGACGCGTTCTGTCTCCTAGAGATGAACGTACTTTGGTGTGAAAATGCAAATCAATCCCAGAACAACAGCAAAGGACCTTGTGAAGATGCTGGAAGAAACAGGTACAAAAGTATCTATATTCACAGTAAAACAAGTCCTATATCGACATAACCTGAAAGGCCGCTCAGCAAGGAAGAAGCCACTGCTCCAAAACCGCCATCAAATAGCCAGACTACGGTTTGCAACTGGACATGGGGACAAAGATCGTACTTTTTGGAGAAATGTCCTCTGGTCTGATGAAACAAAAATAGAACTGTTCGGCCATAATGACCATTGTTATGTTTGGAAGAAAAAGGGGGTAGCTTGCAAGCCGAAGAACACCATCCCAACCGTGAAGCACAGGGGTGGCAGCATCATGCTGTGGGGTTGCTTTGCTGCAGGAGGGACTGGTGCACTTCACAAAATAGATGGCATCATGAGGAAGGAAAATTATGTGGATATATTGAAGCAACATCTCAAGACATCAGTCAGGAGGTTAAAGCTTGGTCGCTAATGGGTCTTCCAAATGGACAATGACCCCAAGCATACTTCCAAAGTTGTGGCAAAATGGCTTAAGGACAACAAAGTCAAGGTATTGGATTGGCCATCACAAAGCCTTGACCTCAATCCTATAGAAAATGTGTGGGCAGAACTGAAAAAGCGTGTGCGAGCAAGGAGGCCTACAAACCTGACTCAGTTACATCAGCTCTGTCAGGAGGAATGGGCCAAAATTCACCCAACTTATTGTGGGAAGCTTGTGGAAGGCTACCCGAAACTTTTGACCCAAGTTAAACAATTTAAAGGCAATGCTACCAAATACTAATTGAGTGTATGTAAACTTCTGACCCACTGGGAATGTGATGAAAGAAATAAAAGCTGAAATAAATCATTCTCTCTACTATTATTCTGACATTTCACATTCTTTATAATAAAGTGGTGATCCTAACTGACCTAAGACAGGGACTTTTTACTAGGATTAAATGTCAGAAATTGTGAAAAACTGAGTTTAAAAGTATTTGGCTATGGTGTATGTAAACTTCCGACTTCAACTGTATATATATATATATATATATATATATACACACACACATACACACAGTACCAGTCAAATGTTTGGACACGCCTACTCATTCAAGGGTTTTTATTTATTTATTTTTGTACTATTTTCTAGATTGTAGAATAACAGTGAAGACATCAAAACTATGAAATAACACATGGAATCATGTAGTAACCAAAAACATTTTCTTCAAAGTAGCCACCCTTTGCCTTGATGACAGCTTTGCATTCTCTCAACCAGCTTCATGAGGTAGGTCACCTGGAATGCTTTTCCAACAGTCTTGAAGGAGTTCCCACATATGCTGAGCACTTGTTGGCTGCTTTTCCTTCAGTCTGTGGTCCAACTCATCCCAAACCATCTCAATTGGGTTGAGGTCGAGGGGATTGTGGAGGCCAGGTCGTCTGATGCAGCACTCCATCACTCTCCTTCTTGGTAAAATAGCCCTTACACAGCCTGGAGGTGTGTTGGGTCATTGTCCTGTTGAGCGCAAACCAGATGGGATGCCATATCGCTGCAGAATGCTGTGGTAGCCATGCTGGTTAAGTGTGACTTGAATTCTAAATAAATCATTGACAGTGTCACCAGCAAAGCACCCCCACACCATCACACCTCCTCCTCCATTCTTCACGGTGGGAACCACACATGCGGAGATCATCCGTTCACCTACTTTGCGTCTCACAAAGACACGGCGGTTGGAACCAAAAATCTCAAATTTGGACTCATCAGACCAAAGGACAGATTTCCACCAGTCTAATGTCCATTGCTCGTGTTTCTAAGCCCAAGCAAATCTCTTCTTCTTATTGGTGTCCTTTAGTAGGGGTTTCTTTGCAGCAATTCGACCATGAAGGCCTGATTCACACAGTCTCCTCTGATGTTGATGTTGAGACGTGTCTGTTATTTGAACTCTGTGAAGCATTTATTTGGGCTGCAATCTGAGGTGCAGTTAACTCTAATGAACTTATCCTCTGCAGCAGAGGTAACTCTGGGTCTTCCTTTCCTGTGGCGGTCCTCATGAGAGCCAGTTCAGTAAAAATAAAGAAAAACCCTGGAATGAGTATGGGATGGCGTATCGCTGCAGAATGCAGTACGTGTGTCCAAACTTTTGACTGGTACTGTACATATACACTGAGTGAACAAAACATTATGAACAGGTGAATGCAGGTGAAAGCTATGATCCCTTATTGATGTCACTTGTTAAATCCACTTCAGTCAGTGCAGATGAAGGGGAGGAGACAGGTTAAAGAAGGATTTTTAAGCCTTGAGACAATTGAGGCATGGACTGTGTATGTGTGCCATTCAGAGGGTGAATGGGCAAGACAAAAGATTTAAGTGACTTTGAACGTGGCATGGTAGTAGGTGCCAGGCGCAGCGGTTTGAGTGTGTCACGAACTGCAAAGGCTGCTGGGTTTTTCACGCTCAACAGTTTCCCGTGTGTATCAAGAACAGTCCACCACCCAAAGGACATCCAGCCAACTTGACACAACTGTGGGAAGCATTGGAGTCAACATGGGCCAGCATCCCTGTGGAACGCTTTCGACACCTTGTAGAGTCCATGACCCAATGAATTGAGGCTGTTCTGAGGGAAAAAGGGGGTGCAACTCAATATTAAGCTGTTCCTAATGTTTTGTACACTGTGTATATAGTGCATTCGGAAAGTATTCCGAACCCTTGACTTTTTCCACATTGTTACATTACAGCCTTATTCTAAAAAGAAAAATGTCCTCAATCTACACACAATACCCCATAGTGACGAAGCGAAAACTGGTTTAGACATTTTTGCACATTAATTACAAATTAAAAAACGGAAATACCTTATTTACATAAGTATTCAGACCATTTGATGAGACTTGAAATTGAGCTCCAGTGCATCCTGTTTCCATTGACCATACTTGAGAGATGTTTCTACAACTTGATTGGAGTCCACCTGTGGTAAATTCAATTGATTGGACATGATTTGGAAAGGCACATCTGTCTATATAATGTCCCACATTTGACAGTGCAGGTCAGAGCAAAAACCAAGCCATGAGGTCGAAGGAATTATCTGTAGAGCTCGGAGACCTGATTGTGTCGAGGCACAGATCTGGGAAAATGTACCAAAAAATGTCGGCAGCATTGAAGGTCCCCAAGAACACAGTGGCCTCCATCATTCTTAAATGGAAGAAGTTTGGGACCACCAAGACTCTTCCTAGAGCTGGCCGCCCGGCCAAACTGAGCAATCGGGGGAGAAGGGCCTTGGTCAGAGAGGTGACCAAGAACCCGATGGTCACTCTGACAGAGCTCTAGAGTTCCTCTGTGGAGATGGGAGAACCTTCCAGAAGAACTATCCCCATACTTTAGGCCTACAGACACACATGCACATTTTCTACACCAGTGAAAACTATATTCTAAATAGGCCTAGGCTATTTGTAAAGGATAATCTTCAATTGACACTTCTTTAAAAGACATGCTCCAGAACTTTCTACTAAGTATTCTTTAAACCTCCTGCTTTGGGCTGGATGTGTCAATGTGTATTTCATACATGTATAATCTATGAGCAGAATGACGGTTTACCTCAATTAGCCACCAAATCCCTAGTTTAAAGGCTCCATTTTCCCTCCATTTTCCCCCCAATGTGGGCCAGCCCCCTAACAATTTGAGTTCTAGCCAATGAGCTTCAGCCCCTCGCCATTTGAGTGCACACACAGCAGAGCAAGAGAGAGAGAGATACATACTGTATCTGAGCAATGACATGGTTCACATACTGTATCTGCAATACAAAAGTACTGGAGAATCTCTTTAATTGGTAGCTAGGTCCATAAACCTCACAGGTATACCACTCAGGAATGTTGAACTTGCCATACAATTTAACATTTCAGTGGGCATTTTGTGAGAATTGGTTGTTTGTTCGTTTGACAGCAGAACTAGTGTGATGACATTGTTGAAAGAGCAGAGGGAGGGAGACAGAGGGAGGGAGAGAGCCAGAGAGCCAGAGAGACAGAGCGAGAGAGCCAGAGAGAGAGAGAGAGAGAGAGCCAGAGAGACAGAGCGAGAGCCAGAGAGAGAGAGAGAGAGAGAGAGAGCCAGAGAGAGAGAGAGAGAGAGAGAGAGAGAGAGAGCCAGAGAGAGAGAGAGAGAGAGAGAGAGAGAGAGAGAGCGGGAGAGAGACAGAGAGAGAGAGGGAGCGGGAGAGAGACAGAGACAGAGAGAGAGGGAGAGGGAGAGAGAGACAGAGAGAGAGAGCGAGAGCGGGAGAGAGACAGAGACAGAGAGAGACAGAGACAGAGACAGAGACAGAGACAGAGACAGAGAGAGAGAGAGAGAGAGAGAGACAGAGCGCCAGAGAGACAGAGACAGAGACAGAGCGAGAGAGAGACAGAGAGAGAGCGCCAGAGAGACAGAGCGAGAGCGCCAGAGAGACAGATAGACAGGGAGCGGGAGAGAGACAGAGAGAGAGAGAGACAGAGAGAGAGAGACAGAGAAAGAGAGAGACAGAGAGAGAGACAGAGACAGAGAGAGAGAGAGACAGAGAGAGAGACAGAGAGAGAGAGAGAGACAGAGAGAGAGAGAGAGAGAGACAGAGAGAGAGCGCCAGAGAGACAGAGACAGAGCGAGATAGAGAGAGAGAGAGACAGAGAGAGAGACAGAGAGAAAGAGAGAGAGAGAGACAGAGATGTATCTGTACCTGTAGCCTCTCCTTTGGTCTCTGCCCCAATCAGGTCCAGGTCAGGGTTCATCCCACTGAGGCAGGAGGGAGTCAGGTCCCCAAAGGGCCCCTCAGAACCGCCAGGCTTCAGCAGGTCCTCCATCAGCTCACCGGCTGCCCCAGGGAGGGTTCTCAGGCGCTGAGTCGACCCAGAGGACGGGTCCTGATGTCTGGGGGAACCAGAGCTCATCACGGAGGGCTTGGAGACAGAGCTGGAAGTAAAGCCTCGTAGCGGTTTGGCTAGCATGGGTATGTGAGGAGAGGAGCACCCCAGCGGAGACCACGACACACCACCACCCAAACAGTCTGCGTCCTTCAGGGAGGGCTTGTGTGGTGAAGCGTGGGACAGGGACAACTGGGACTGAGAGTTATTAGGCTTTGGGGACTGGGAGACTGAGTGAGAGGCCAGGCCAGAGTCAGTACCTCCCCCTGCTGCTAGCTGGTCTTTAGGTCCTGTGTAATATTCCTCAGCAGTCTCCTGCTTGATCTTCTTCACTGATTTGTCCTCAGACCCTGGTCCCCCTAGGGGACCCCTCTTCCTGAGTCTGTGATGAGGCTCGTAGTCTGCATCTCCTTCCTCGTCCGTTGTGGCTGAGGACTCACAGACAATATCAAACAGGTTGCTGTCGTCCGCCTCAGTGTTATCGTCGCTGCAGTTGGAGAAGTCGCAGGAGTCCCGGGTCTGGCTGCTGTCGCCCCACTTGGCTTGGCTGGAGAGGCCCAGAAACCTCTCTCCTCCTGGGCTGCTCTGGCAGGCAGAGGTCCCTCCCTGGAGACTGAGGCTGTCTGAGTTGATGCTGCGGCTGTCTTGGTAGCAGCCACCTCGCTCCTTCAGAATCAGAATCACCTTTATTCAGCATTTACATGTACCAGGAATTTGACTTGATGGAATCATGCAGACAACAATACAGTGCCTTCTGAAAGTATTCAGACCGCTTCCCTATTTCCACATTTTGTTACGTTACATCCTTATTATAAAATGGATTAAATACATTTTTTTCCTCAATCTACACACAATACCACATAATGACAAAGCGAACAGGTTATTTACATAAGTATTCAGACCCTTTGCTATTAGACTCGAAATTGAGCTCAGGTGCATCCTGTTTCCATTGATCATCCTTCAGATGTTTCTACAACTTGATTGGAGTCCACCTGTGGTAAATTCAATTGATTGGACATGATTTGGAAAGGCACACACCTGTCTATATAAGGTCCCACAGTTGACATTGCATGTCAGAGCAAAAACCAAGCCGTGATGTCGAAGGAATTGTCCGTAGAGCTCCGAGACAGGATTGTGTCGAGGCACAGATCTGGGGAAGGGTACCAAAACATTTCTGCATCATTGAAGGTCCCCAAGAACAAAGTGGCCTCCATCATTCTTAAATGGAAGAAGTTTGGAACCACCAAAACTCTTCCTAGAACTGGCCGCCCGGACAAACTGAGCAATCGGGGGAGAAGGGCCTCGGTCAGGGAGGTGACCAAGAACCCAATGGACACTCTAACAGAGCTCCAGAGTTCCTCTGTGGAGATGGGAGAACCTTCCAGAAGAACAACCATCTCTGCAGCTTTCCACCAATCAGGCCTTTATGGTAGAGTGGCCAGACAGAAGCCACTCCTCAGTAAAAAGGCACATGACAGCCTGCTTGGAGTTTGCCAAAAGGCACCTAAAAGACTCTTAGACCATGAGAAACAAGATTCTCTGGTCTGATGAAACCAAGATTGAACTCTTTGGCCTGAATGCCAAGCGCCACGTCTGGAGGAAACCTGGCACCATCCCTACGGTGAAGCATGGTGGTGGCAGCATCATGCTGTGGGGATGTTTTTCAGTGGCAGGGACTGGGAGACTGTCAGGATCAAGGGAAAGATTAACAGAGCAAAGTACAGAGAGATCCTTGATGAAAACCTGTTCCAGAGCGCTCAGGACCTCAGACTGGGGCGAAGGTTCACCATCCAACTGGACAACAACCCTAAGCACACAGCCAAGACAACAAAGGAGTGGCTTCGGGACAAGTCTCTGAATGTCCTTGAGTGGCCCAGCCAGAGCCCGGACTTGAACCCGATTGAACATCTCTGGAGAGACCTGAAAATAGCTGTGCAGCGATGCTCCCCATCCAGCCTGACAGAGTTTGAGCGGATCTGCAGAGAAGAATGGGAGAAACTCCCCAAATACAGGTGTGCCAAGCTTGTAGCGTCATACTCAAGAAGACTCGAGGCTGTAATCGCTGCCAAAGGTGCTTCAACAAAGCACTGAGTAAAGGGTCTGAATACTTATGTAAATGTACTATCTGTTTTTTATTTTTAATACATTTTTAACAATTTCTAAAAACCTGTTTTTGCTTTGTCAATATCGGGTATTGTGTGTCGATTGATGAGGGGGAAAAAAACAATTTAATCAATTTTAGAATAAGGCTGTAACGTAACAAAATGTGGGAAAAGTCAAGGGGTCTGAATACTTTCCGAATGCACTGTAGACAGGAATGTACCTATTATCTACATACAGTAGAGATAGTTAGATCAGAACACGATCAGAAACTGCATAACATACTATATAAAGTGAGGACATATACACTGAGTGTACAAAACATTAAGAACACCTGCTCTTTTCAAGACAGACTGACCAGTTGAATCCAAGGCAAGACAAAATATTGAAGTGACTTTGAACGGGGTATGGTAGTAGGTGCCAGGCGCAGCGGTTTGTGTGTGTCACGAACTGCAAAGGCTGCTGGGTTTTTCACGCTCAACTGTTTCCCGTGTGTATGAAAAATGGCCCACCACCCAAAGGACATCCAGACAACTTGAAACAACTGTGGGAAGCATTAGAGTCAACATGGGCCAGCATCTCTGTGGAACGCTCTGGACACTCAGTGTATATATACATTTGCAGAGACAGAAATGCCCACCTTCGGGCCCATCTTGCAGGTGACGTTGAGGGGCCAGTGGTAGGCGTGGCCCGCGCTGCACCCCCACATGGCGGTCAGGTTCCCGTGGGACCCCTCAGTGAGCAGGTGTTTGAGGTTCGGGATGAGAGCACAGATGGTGCCGTGACTGTGGGCCCATCGGACCAACTTAGACAGTTTCACTGAAGACGTGTGCAAGCAGTCTTCCATAACGAGTTGGAGCCGTTTCCTCTGCTGAAAAATTGTATATTGGTTATTCATATTAGGGGGTGGGTAGCCTGAGTGCCAGAACGGTTTGTGCTCTTGTCAACACCATCATTGTCCTTGTCAAGTCAATGGGTGACAAACAGTTGGCAAGATAGCACAGACTGGCACTCAGGCTAGGGTGGGTTAGCTTTGATGCAAAAAATAGTTTTTACATTGTGCTAGACTCTTGGTTGCCAAAAATTAGGGACGTGGAGACAGAAAATAACCCTAGTACAATATTACCGGCTTCACCCAAAAAAATGTTTCCTGTCTACAAAGGCAAATCTACAATCTTTAAGAACTCAACTTATTAGCCTTAAAAGTGAAATGTGTCCCTCACTATCAAAAAAATGCATTTTAAAACCAGGTTTTATTCAGGTTGGTCCATAGATGGGTTAGCTCACAACGTCAGGAAAACGATGCGCACGCATCAGTGGGCCAGAAGTCTTAGTTGTTGTGATTCTGGATGGCCAGACAGCTACCAACAATGACAGGAAGCAGGAAACTGCCATGTGGGGAATCGTTACTCTTGTTCTTGATACCATGTCTTGTTTTGAGGCGTTGACTTATTTCATGTCAATGCTAATATGGCTAAAGTTCACTAGCTAACCAACAACTGTAACAATGTATTTGAGAGACAAGTATTCATTGTGCAAAAGTATTACATTGGAGACTAAATATAGTTTACATGTCAACAATCTAGCTAAGCCAACACCGTCTGTTTTGTCCCATAGTTGTGCACGCGTCGGTTTTTGTTGCTTAACAACCAATCCATCTATTCCAACGAGTACTACTGACATTTTCCACCTGATACTCGCTTCTTCTACATCTTTAGTGGCTGAAAAAGACAGAGTTCCCGTAGAATGGGCTCAGCGCTGCCACCGATGGTCGCAACAAAAAATACAACTGAATAAATGTGGCGTCTGTCCTCCATTGTGGCGTCTGTCCTCCATTGTGGCGTCTGTGATTGTACTTACTCGACTATGACATTGAGTGAAAAAAGCCAAATTGCAGGATTTATTAGTGCAATACACACTGTATGTACATGCATTCAGAGAGCTACTGAAAATTAAAACGGCAAAATCTGCCTTCTTCAGAGTTGGTTCTGAAGTCATGAGATAAGTCACTACTACACTGAACAAAAATATAATGACGTTAAATAAAAGATCCTAGAAATGTTCCATACGCACAAAAAGCGTATTTCGTTTGTGCACAAATTTGTTTACATCCCTGTTAGTGAGCATTTCTCCTTTGCCAAAATAATCCATCCACCTGACAGGTGTGGCATATCAAGAAGACCCGCAGACCACGTGTAACCACGCCATCCCAGGACCTGCACATCCGGCTTCTTCACCTGCGGGATCGTCTGAGACACCCCACCCGGACAGCTGATGAAACTGAGGAGTATTTTGGTCTGTAATAAAGCCCTTTGTGAGGAAAAAACTAATTGATTAGCTGGGCCTGGCTCCTCATTGGGTGGGCCTATCCCCTCCCAGGCCCACCCATGGCTGAGCCCCTGCCCAGTCATGTGAAATCCATAGATTAGGGCCTAATGAATTTATTTCAATTGACTGATTTCCTTATATGAACTGTAACTCAGTAAAATCGTTGAAATTGTTGCGTTTATATTTTTGTTCAGTATAGATTTGCCTTTGTAGACAGGAAACGTGTTTTTTGGTGTAGCCAGTTATATTGTATTAGGGTTATTTTCTGTCTCCATTTTTCGCAACCAAGAGAGTCCAGCACAATGTAAAAACTATCTTGGTTGCATCGAAGGTAGCCTATAGTACCCAGACTCAGAGTAAACAATCACATTTGTGTGGGTCTTGTCTATACATTAAACCAGGCTCCAACACAACCTTTCAAAACAGTAAAGCCATTTCAAACCCCAAACACATGATCCTGGTGATTGGAGGTGAATTATGAAACCAGTCAGCTCGCAGCCTGAAGAAGACAGTAAAGACAAGACCACAACACAGCAGGCTGAGAATGGCCTGATCTATTATATAAATTGTCTTGATGGTTGACTATGATAAGGTTAAGGAAACGCTTTGAATTTCGTTATCTACTGTAGCCGACGATAATGACTCTGCAGTTAGCAATTATTCAGCAGTCAGCTAACCATGACTCTCGCCTGCTAACGTTTGAAGGACCCGTGAGCTATCAATCTCGCCACTTCTCTAGTTAGAGTTTATTTTTTATTTATTTATCACTACTTAGCTGAATGTTTAAAATGGTCAACTAGCTAGGTAGGTAGCAAGGTATAGCGTTAGCAATCAACCTGCTAACCTGGCTGGCTATGATGATCAGACAGACTCAGGTCATAGAACAAAAAGACACCTCTTTGTGTTGTCAGAAGAACACTTACCTTTACACCGGAGACACACTTCATATGTCTTCTAACGTAAAGGAAATTATTATTTTGGCTAATATTACTATTGCAATACAGCAGTCAAGGCAAGAAAACACAACTCCGACTAGATGGCGTCTGGCCAGATAATTTCCCCCCAAAACATAAAGAATGTAGTGGGTTCGATCCCCGGGACCACCCATACACAAAAAAAAATGTATGCACGCATGACTGTAAGTCGCTTTGGATAAAAGCGTCTGCTAAATGGCATATTATTATTTATTATTATTAAAGTAACTGGACCTGTGTGAATCAAGCCACAATAGGGGGATTTGAGGTTTGCCTTCAAAATAAAAGTCCCCCATTGAAAGTGATACAAACGGTGGAATCAAGCCATTTTTGGACTAGATAAGGCAACAACAACAAAAAAAGGTTGTGTAATGTTGTTACATTATTTAAAATGAAATAAATGATTGTCAATAAAACAGAAAAAGCTGTTGAAATCGCACTATATATTAGAATTGCATTGGGGGCATACTAATATGCACTTTACAGGCTAAACTAGAAATGGTACACCCATGACATGGGGTATCAGCAAACTCAGTGGCACCCACAGAACAACTATGTAGAATTTACACAAATATGATTGTGTTAGCTCTTATTGTGGGACTCTAAAAAACAGTGTGAAATCAACCACATTAAGCCTATTACATCAGCGGGCACCATCAAACCAACTCCTTGAATGCCCTGGCCTACTGCTTGAAGTTTGCAGTTATGTAAAAAAAAAAAAATTATACAACAACACTACTTTACCCTTTAGTGGTAGGTAGCTTAGTGGTTAAGAGCATTGTGCCAGTAACCGAAAGGTCGCTGGTTCTAATCCCCGAGCCGACTAGGTGAAAAATCTGTCGATGTGCCCTTGAGCAAGGCACTTAACCCTAATTGCTCCTGTAAGTCGCTCTGGATAAGAGCGTCTGCTAAATGACTAAAATGTTAAATGTAGTGTCCTTTACTGTCAATAATTATATTGAACATTATTTTGTTTTTCAACACAACAGTAAATTAATTTAAATTCCTGCAATAAGTTCAATAAGAATGTTCAATACACACAGCCTGACTGGGAAGGTGACCTCCCACAGTCAAAGTCCTGCAATAAGGGCTAAGACACCCATATCTGTGTAAAGTCCAATCAAATCAAATGTTATTTGTCACATGCTTCGTCGACACGGGTGTAGACTAACAGTGAAACGCTTCCTTACAGCGCTTCCCAACAACGCAGAGAGAAAGAACAGAGTGGAGAACGTTCTCTGCTGAGTTTAGGCTGTGACAACGGAAAAGGCAGCAGCAAACAGACCTATGGGATGTTTTAGCAGGACGTTTGGTGACCTGATTTGTAACTATTAAAATCCTTTTGTCAAACAGATTGTGAACCCAAAAGTGTACGTTTGATTCTAGAGGGGGGACAATAATAAAAAAAAGGGTGTAGGAGCAGATTAATGTGATCTAGTCTTCAGGAGGTTAGGGTGTAGGAGCAGATTAATGTAATCTAGTCTTCAGGAGATTTTATTTATTTACTTTATTTAGTCTGATCAGTGGAACAATTCTCATTCTTAACAATTGGCTAAAATATAGGGTAATTACTGTGATTGTCAGCAAGAAAACTGCTGTTATTCCCCACACTTATTATTCCGCTTCTTCCCAGTGTTGCCAGTGTAATCTCATATTTGAAATCTCATATGCCTACTTGTCTTTGAAAATGAATTACGAGGCTATGTATTTTTGCAGCCATTCATGGACAGTTTTGAATAAGTCATACAAATAAGAATTGGATAGTAAATGCTTCAGGAATCAAATATAATTTTTTTGACATTTTAGTATTGTGCCCATGCTAGGTAGAGACGGTAGGGGGATTCACAACTCAGATCATATTGTGTCTGTGTAGATTAAGAAGAAGGCAGGGATCTTCAACTAATAGGCATAAACCACCTGAATATTGATATTCATTAGATTTTTCAAACACCCAGCACGCATCAGGGGAGGCCAACCCTCCTGGAGAGCAAGCAGGATTTTCTTCCAGCCCTATTTTAAAGAGATTGTTCACCAAAATTACAAAATGGTTGCGTCCTTACCTTGAAAGCAGTCTATGGACAAGGAGACTGCAATATATGATTTGGTTACCCACTGCCGTCAACCATTAATATTAAAATGTTACTTTAAATTGAATCCCCTCAAAAAAAATTCTCAAAGTAACAAAGTCGTCCAATTGAGTATTAATTTAATGTTCAAAGCATCCAATTTTTCACCCTGGTCTTACACCTAACCCATGTCAAAATACGTAGAATTGCAGGAAATTAGCGTTAAAACAGTAACATTTTCTGTCTAGGGGTTGTGCCAGGGGGCAATCAAATTCCCATAACTTGGAGTGAGATTTGCTTTCTTCAAAAGTTAGCAGGCCTGAAACAATAGCCTACATGTAGGGGAGATTTGGGATCTTTCCCCCACGCGAATCCATGGCTATTCCAATGTTTTTGGTCGAGTACGATTTACTTCTTTACCGCATCTATTGACATTGGACGGAAACCTAGCTCATGAAGTCATTTGTGATGACGTCAAA